CAGCATAATATACCACCTTTGCTGCCGCATCTAGTCACTGGAAGTCATCCTCCACCTCTTATGTCATTGGGACCTCCACCTACGGACAGGAAAGACTATTATGATTCCTACAACAGGTATTTCCGCCTCAATAGTACTTTAATTCATGTACACGCTAAGCAGACAGTCTACCGTGCCTTATGCTGCTGTCCTGGTTAAGACTGCTCCGGAATTATGGTGAATGTAACGAGAGCGAAATAATCAATTTTATGATACTTTAAAGATAATGTATACAAATACGTTTTTTAAAAGCATATTTATATTTATGTATATGTATATTTATACATATACATTTATAAAATGCGCGCGTGCGCATGCATACATGCATATATACGTAAACAAGAATAGTTGTATAAATTGATAAATCATACATATAATTAATTTTAATAATAATTAAGAAATATATTACATAATATATAAGGAAATTAAAGAGATTATATCAATTTTTATATCTATTTTTATATCTATTTTTAAATAAAAAATATTTTTTGAATAATAATTGGAAAAAATTTATTCAACTATTCAAATAATATTATATTTTTGTTGTCACAAGAGTGATATGTTCATAGTAGTGTGTTGTGAGATTTCTAAGTATGAATCGATATACAAATCGATATAAAACTGATTATATTAAATTGTAAAAAGTTCTTAATTTTCTACGTAAATGTATCTGATTGAAAAATATTTTGTTTCATTCACCTGCATTTCAAGTAACTATATTATTCATTAATAATAGTAATGATTATTCCAGAATAGAATAATATTTTATTACATTTGTAGATATCAAGAAAACATTACGATGAAATGATAAAAATAATTGTTAATTTTAAAATAAATTATTAAGTTGTAAATAATATAACGATTGCTTTGTACATATATTGTTGATTTAAAAAAGCAGTCATTATTTTATTTATGACAAAGTCTATAAAATCATTAATAATTTTGTTTCATTAAAAAAAATACGTAAATTAGTTATTAAGTCTTAAAACTATGACTTAAAAATTTAACGCGATTTAAACAAAATGTCGCAATAAAAAATGCATGTTATTGCTTTTCTAAATATTGATTTGATTTATATAGGTGATATAAAATATTAGAAAAGTGTGTAAATGAATGTGTGTGACATACACACATGTACACGCAACATGTGCGTGCACGTGTGTCTTCTGTTGTATTCTTTTGCTGTATTTTTATTAAAAAATACTGTATGTACTAAAAAGATTATTCAGAAGATTATTCAAATATTTAAATAATTAAACTAAAAATATTATATATATAATAATTCTTTTGAATAATTGCATAATAACTCCATAAAGTAAAATTCAAATATAATAATCTTGATTATCCAAAATAAATTTAAAAAATGAATGAATAAATATAATAAAAATTTATTAAATAAACAAATTTATTTAATAGAGAAATTGTAGAGTAATATTTTTTATTTTTAATATAATAATATCATAAAAATATCTTATTAATATTTATTCATAAAATTACGGATAATTGAGATTAAGATATATTAAAATTTATTAGAATATATTAGTTAATTTAATGCCTTATTAAATTATTTATAACTGATTTACATTTATAATATTCTATTTGACAAGATATGAAGAGAATATATTATTATTTGTTTGAATTTTCATCAATACATTAATTAATATAATTATTAGAATTCACAAAATGATGAACTCGAAAAAGAAAGATTGCATTATTATGGAATACAATAAATCTTTTAGCCATTTTTCAAAATTTTTTAAAAAAAAAGCCAAAAAAAATAAATATTGTCTTAAACAAATAAATTTTTCTTATGAATATATGAATTATTCTCTTTATTTTATTTGATTATCATCCATTTAATAGATATATACTTTCAAATGTTGGAAAATTCAAAAAAATATTGATGACTTTATTATATCTTTTTTTGGGAATTTATTATATCTTTTTTTTAGGGATTTGAAAAGGAATTTTTTTTATATTCTGAAAAATGATTATTAATTAAAAATGATTAAAAATGAATTTATAGTGGTAAACTATAATATAATAATAAAATAAACGAAAATAATGGCAAATATTTCAAAAAATATAAGTTGTATTATTTCTTTTTAAATAAATAATAACTTTATTTTAAAAAGGCATCAAATTAACTTATAATTCTAATATTTGAAAATCAATTTATTTTGTGATAAAATTAATTTTTTCTTATATTAAAGTATGTTTTTATATTTTTAAAATATTGTATTTAATATGTCTATTCTATATTTTAAATGTTTCCATTAATTTAACAAATTTAATTTTTTTATACATATATATCAATTGCTAAACTAAAAAACAAAAAACATTTTCAGAAATGATGCAATTAACATGAAATAAATTTTGAAATAATATATAATTTTTTTATGCTCGTATAATTCAAAATTTTCATGTAAATTGGAAAACATTTAATTGAAAGGATCTAATATTAATGAAAATAAGTGTAAATAAGAAAATAATACTTATTTTCATTAGTTTTATTTTAAAATAATTCAAAAAATAATTATATAAATATTATTTAAAAAAATTTATAATAATATAGCAATAAACTAAAAAATTATATATTTATATTTTATATAAGATTATTAATTACAATAATATAATGTAGTAAATGAAATAAAGAAAATCTTATTATTAATGATCCTTTCTAATTTCATGTTCTTCAATAATAATTTTCTTTGTATTGTTAAATCATGCAATTAATGTATCAGCTCACAAAATATTATTTAGAAAACTGATACTATACAAATTCAATATTTTATTATCTATGATAAGCAATAATTGAAATTTTCATTTATATAACTAAAAAATTAGTGTAAATAATCACTTAATTAATTAATCATATATATACACATTCACACAATAGATTCCCTCTTAATCGAGCTTTATGAGATCAAATCTTGATCGATTATCCAACGATTATTCAACAATTATCCAATGATATTATTTATTTAGGTTGTAAATAAAATAAAAATATATATGTATATATATATATATATATGCATATATTTTTTATTTATATAAAATATTATAATAATTTATATAAAATAATAATATAATATTAACATATATATATATATATATATATATATATATA